GTAAAAAGTTAGATTTGAAATCATAAAAGCATAAAGAAAAATCTTACAAGAATGCCATCATCATATCAGAAACTGATGGACATTTCATTCTGACATGAAAGCAGCTTGACTGAGACATGGAGAACATGTTTAAAACTGAATTTAAAATGAAAACAGATTTTAAGACATGAAATATGTGAACAGTGATCATCAAATATTTTCACTTGATTTGAAAACATCAATAAAACCCTCAAATTAAAGCTGGCGTGATGAACTGGAAGTGCCTGTCCTCCTGATGCATGCTGGGACGCAGAGCTGCTTTCAACAATAAGAAGAGGAAGCCTTAGCAAATAGAATAAAATAAATGAATGCTTGTTCTGAACAAAAATGAAATTGTTAAAACAATACTATTTTGTGTGTTCAGTTGCTAAGAAAATAAGTATCATGAAGACATTTTAAAGTCATTATTTTTAAGGGAGTTAAAAGACCCTACTAAAAATAAAGTGTTTAATGATTTTATAAATGATTATTAGGTGCTGATTAAATCACATTGAAATCAGTGGTTAAAAATGTTAATAGGTCATAAACTTGTTAGGTCAGGAGCATTGACCTGTCTGACACAATTTGATCTGCAGATAGAGATAGTTATCTATCCCATGATGACATTATATCTGCTCTTGAAGACTCTGGGAGGTGTTTAAAAGCTCTTGAAATAATAGCAAGTGGAAAATAAGCTGACATTGTTAAGTGAAAGTCAGAAATAATCATGTTTTTAAGACAAGTTCAACATTAAGGAAAACTAGCAGGAGGAAAGAAGAAAAGAACAGAGGAGAGAAAAAAAATGGAGCAGAGAAAGGAGGGGGGAAGAACATGGAGAGGATGAGAAAGTTGAAGATGCCAGAAACAGTGGACACAAAATTTGAGGCTTTAGGAGGTACATATAATGAAGAGGAAAGGAGAAAGAAATATGATGGGGAAAAGTGATCATAAGAAGAGAGGAAGAAAAGGAAGAGGAGGGTTGGAGGGTGACCTTGTCTGTGATGAGGCGGCAAGTTGACGTCTCCAATTATATTCATGAAGAACAGTCATTAAAGATGCACAAGTCCAGATGTAGAATCTATTTATACCCAGAGCATCACTCAAGCACGCACACGCACACACACACACACGCGCGCACGCAGTCTTTCATTTCCGACTTCCTGTTCCCTCCTGAAATCTGATGACTCACATAAAAAATTAAACACTTACACTCACACACTCTCTCTCCCACAGAACACGTTTAAGTATTAGCGACCCATTTTTGACAGTAATAGAACCTTAATAATTTAGCAGCAGTCCCTCGTTCTGCTAATAATTACAGATGAGGACGAAAATCAGATAAAAGGGGGGAGAAGAGAGGATGGAGTGTGTGCCCGATTTGGGAGATTTTAGTTCCTCATCCTGCAGCTGTCAAACAAAACAAGAAAATGCTTTTGAATAATTGAGTATCTCGGAGACTGAGCAGGCTGCTGTTAAAGGACCATACCACTGTTTTTACATGTTTTATTTACCCAGTCATATCCAGCTCACAACATTACAGCCGGCCAGCTCCTAGAGCTCAATTTGTTTTCCTATAGGTAGCATGCTCAAACATGTAGAAACACTGGCATGGTCCTTAAATAAACAGTTTTATTTTATATTAGATAATATAACATGTTAAGTCAAGCTGAGCTCATTTACACTAGCAAGAGTAAAAAGTGGACCTCCATTACATGCTGCTCATTTTATACCAGAACATCTTTCTCCTAGCTCAGCACAAACACTCTCAGTGGGTTAACATTGGTAGCATGACTCTATCAATATTTGGCTATCAAGATGCGTTGGTGATTAGCCTGTTGGGTAACATGATACAGCGTGTCACATCGACTTGTTGGACTGATAGAGTTTACGGTTCCACTTTCTCACAGTTCTGTGCGAGAGTAAAAGTGTTCTGAGCTGCTTTATTTTCTGTTGTTTTTATCATCTCACTTTACATTCTTTTGTCCACTGTTGTTTTCAAAATCAATAATGAATTATTTATCTTATATTATATTAAAAGTCGACAAGGACAAGAAAGGGAAGATCATCTGATTAAATAAATAGGTCTAAAGCAACTGGATATTGTAGTGAGATCTGCAAATCAATTCTTTCAGCTTCTGTTGTTTCTTACATTTGATCATGTTGATGTATCAATCATTTGTTTCCTCCTCTGTTTGGGTTCTCATTTCAGCAGTGAACTGTTTTTATTTTGTACACACAGGCAGGCTAACGTGAGGATTGAACCTGTGACCAGACAGGCTGCTGACATCATCTTATCCCAGCATGCACCCTGACAGGACCTTTACCCAATAATGCACAAGCAGTGATTGTATAGTTGTCACACCACATGGTCATGAAACCAGTCTTAGTGCTTCATTTAGTAATCGAATGATTAACTAGATCACTTCGCTGTTTAGATCCTGGATTAATTACTTTGACATTTATCATGTCTATATAATTAATGAATCCATTAACTGCTGATGACAGCATTTGTTGTGCTGCAGATCAACACTGTTTGCCCGTCAGTACACTGACACACTGTTCAAAGACTGAAATGGTAAATCACACAATAACCCATGCTGATTAAAAACATAGAGGCTTAAACATGTATGTCAAAAACAATCAGTTTAGTGTTGAGGTTTAAAATCCAATGACTTTCATAAAGACTCCAAAAACCTGCAGTAAGTTAATCAATCAAATAATCAATCATTCGGTGGGTCAATCGGTGAACATTGGTCTTCGGTGAGAGTCACAATCAGAGGGCAACAAGCCAACATTCAATCTGTGACACAGACCTCAGAGAATAAGAACAAACTGAGTTATGATAAATACACAGAGGCTCGGTAGTGCCAGAAACATTCAAAACTGCTGAAAAACTAAAAGAGTGTAAATATTCAAGGAGATACTCAGAACATAACAGCTCAAGTGTCTCCCATGTAAAGTATGTTTTATCATGCGTATGAGTCTCAACACAGTTTTTAGTTTTAACTTTTTAAAGGGACTTTATCATTGAAAGGGCAGATAAACTAGAAACTCATAACTGATTAATACATGTGATGCTGCCCTTAGAATTACAATTTCCCACTGTTCAAAAAATGACCAGTTACCAATTTCACTGGTTTGTTTTTCTTAAAGTTGCCGAATAACAAAGTGTCACTTTTGCTTTTTGCTCCTACAACAACTCCTCCACTATTGTTTTAGTTTGACCTTCCTTATGATGTGTTCAGACCAAAGGTGATGATTGGCAGGCTGTGTTCATTTGCTTTGGTCTAACAGATAAGTCCAGATACCAGACACCACCATATCTGGGTTCATGACATTATCAGGAGAGACAAACTGTTACAGCCTTCTCCAGGAACTGTGTGTTTATTCCTTCAGTTCTGATTCAGACTACAGAAAGTTGACCAGTGCACATGTGATGACCTGTTAGCCACGATCAGCACACAAACTACTGGCGTTCTGTTTCTGCTGCAGGGCGCACGTCTATCTGTCTTCAGTGAGTGGGAGGTTGACTGTATAGAAAGTCGCATGTCCGCTGAACTCTATAATAATATTTCATTATTTCATGAAGAATCTTTGTAGAAGAAGAAGTCTGAATTCATGCGTGGTTGGTTCTAACTGCAAGACAAGACTCTATTTCCAACTCTGGCAAATATGTGAAGAACTTAAAGTAGTGTCTTTGTAATAACGCTGCATGAATCATTTGTTGATGCTTTTGGTCTGAACACACACTTACTCTTGCTATGTGATAACTGAAGTCTGACTCCTGTTTAACTGTTGCAGTTCGAGGGAGACACTTTATAATTCTTGCATCTTTTTTTCCCCACTAATATCACACATGGTATTTAATTTATACAATTTTGTAACTGAATAACATTAGTGCTGAGACTCAATGAAAGTAAATAGGTATTTTTTACTATGAAAACAAAATAAACAGCTTTTAGGGCAGTGGACAAGTCGTGCAATAGACCATATTCCCACAAAGAAAATAACCTTGGAGCCTGAAGGAGAGCTGCTCAGTGAATGTTGTAAGCTTGAAATAGTTACGTTTTACCCCAGGTTTGTTTGTGCTCAAGATGAGCTTCAATACCAAGAATGAATACACTCCTTTCATATCGTATCCGTGATTCTCAGGCATGAATGTTAACTATGAAGTGGCTGAAGGCTGATGTTAGCTCTGTTGTGATGGAAGATAATGGTTTATTAAATATGTTTTTTTTACTCATAATGAAGCCTGATTTATCTCCAGATATTCAGTATCCATTTTCTGTGTAGTTTTATATCAATAGGGAAGGTTTGTAATGAAAACAGTTCCTCATGTTTCTTAATGAATAACATAACAGTAAGACACGATAACAACATTTGAGCGTCGTGACTGTGGTGGGAATATGGTCTTTAGGTTTAGAGGAAAGTTTGTTAAAAAGGAAGGAGAAACGTTTCCAGGTCCAGCCCTGTTTCTGGCACTAACAGGCTTCTGAAAGATGCTTGGTACATCAGAACATATAAACCAGACTGATCGAAAGAACAACTAAACAAAACAACAACAAATCAAATCCAAACAGAAATGTCATAAAATAATCTCTTAATCGTGGATTTATACTCCAGATATCATTACAATGAGAAATAAGGAGACAGGAGAGGTGATAACAACAAAAATAGATGGTTACATTCCAGTTGGGAGAAGATCCGCCCCCCTGCAGGTACAGTCAGGGTGTGGGTGAGAGAGCAAAGGGTGAGTATGTGTTTTTGGGGGGGAGGGGTCTAACCAAACCCCCCCTACAAATCAATCAGGTGACTAAATAACACCATGACATGAAATCAGTGATTAGTGTAGACAACAAAATAAACAAGTCTGACCCTCAGCAGGCCCTGCGGCGTACCATCCAGAAAGAGAGAGAGAAAGAGAGAGAGAGAGAGAGAGAGAAATAGAGATAGGCACTGAGAGTCTTAGTGGTGTGTGTGTGTGTGTGTGTGTGTGTGTGTGTGTGTGTGTGTGTGTGTGTGTGTGTGTGTGTGTGTGTGTGTGTGTGTGTGTTCATCCAGGTGTGTCTCATCTGTTCTCTTTAAAATAAAATGCTCCTGGTCATGAAACAAGGCAAAGACATCTGTAAAGTGTGAAGTTTTTTTTTTTTTTTTTTTTAAAGTTTCCATTCAGTTGTTTTCTCCTCTTACAAAAAACACAACACTCATACACACACACACACAAAAGACCGATATTGTGTTTCAACTACTTATTGTAACACTGATTGTTTTAGATGTCAAATAGTTTTATAGTCATTCAGACTTCATACTTTTGGCCATGTAGTTCCTGTTTGTGTGTAGATGCACAATCAAACCCTAGACATCCATAAAGTATGCAGACATCTTTTCTAAATGTCCTTAAAGTATGTCAACATCACTAACCAGATTCTGTAGGATTTTCTGAGTATCTTAAAAAATGGTAATTGTTTTAACACTACTCAATTTTCTGTCTTTGAAGTATTCTATCTCCTAAATTAAAAAAGCTGCAGAACACAAAGTGTCTTTAATACACTGCGGGTTGGGGGCTGTCGCATACTTTTGACTGTTTGATGTAAATTTGAAACAAGAATGATTATTTTTCTTAAACTCTTTTATCTTTTAAAAATACTGATAGAATTTATTTAATTACACAAAAATAAATCTCTTTATTTACCTCTCTGTCTGATCAGCTGATTCACTGGGTTCAAATCGCCGATACAGAAGCCTACATATTGATCCAGAGCTGATCGGTCTTGACACACTCACTCACACACACGCACACACGCACACACACACACACACACACAAACACACGGTGAGCTCGGCAGCATACGGTAGAGTATGGCTATATCCTGATGGGCTTGACCTCTGACTTCTATGACAGACAGGCAAGTTGCCATGGAAACAGACAGCAGCTGATGGAGCACAGTGTGGGGTGAGCAAGACTTTTCTTAGGGCGAGCGTCAGTCCAGCAGAGTGCCTTGCTCCTGGGCTCGGGTCAGACTGTCTTTGCGGTGCAGGTGGTGCACGCCCATTCTCTTCGGGCTCTTCTGTGGCCTCTGTGGAGGGGCGGCTGTGGCGTGGGCTGGGTCGAAGTCCAGGAGACGTGGTGAGATGACGGGCAGGTCGTGTGGGAGGACATCTCTCTCCTCAGCCGAACTCTCCGCCTCTTCCTCCTCCTCCTCGAAATCATTCCTGCGAGCATCAGCTGGGCTTGTCGCCACAGTGACCGCCGTGTCCCCGCTGCCGCCGTCGTCCTCTAGGTTCATCAGTAGCCCCTTGCCCTCCTCCGTGGACCCGTCTCCAACGCTGTAGCGCCCCCTCCTGCCTGACCGTTGCTCAGTGTCGGTGTCGGTGTCGAGGCTGGAGCCGCGGCTGGGCGTCCAGCTGCGCGCAGACGAGCCCTCTTCACCATCTGAGTATGCCGCCCTGTGGCGATCAGAGGAGGATGAAGCCCCGCCCCCTGGTGTCTGCCTCCTCCTCTGCAGCTCCTGAGCTGTCTGACTGCTGAATGAGGTGCGATGGACCACCGAGGTTTCACAGGATGGTGCCATCTTCTCTACAAACATCCGCTGCCAGTTGGCCAGCAGGTCCTCCTCTGAGCTAGCGGAGCTGGCCAGGACGCTGGGTGCCTGGGGGGGGGTACAAATTAATTTAGGGGCCTACATAATAGATAAAAAAAAAATCACAAACTGATAACAAGTATTGATTTAGATCACGGACAGCTTCCCTCTGAGCACACAGACATCACATGTGGCAGCCCATAAGCTATCATCTGTTTTCGTCATGACGATATAACCTCTGGGACTCTACAACAGGAGAGGCATTTAAATTAATTCTAGTATATTAATATGACATAAGTACTAGGTGAGTTACCTGTGGTGGGCTGCTGAATGGGCTGGACTGACTGGACAGTGGCTCACTGGTGAGGTCCCGTTGTGACGGCGGCGTGCGCTGGTGAACCCCCCCGCCGGAGGATGAGGAGGGCGCAGGGCTCCCAGTGGCCAGCCGCTCTTCATCATTCTGGACCAGGCTCAGGGATATAGCCTGGCGGGTGGCGTAGGTGCAGTTGGGAAGCGGGGAGTTTTTGGGAATCTTTACTTTGTCATCTGAAGAGAACTCAATCACCTTGCGTCCGGGGTACAGTGGGTGTGGGGGCGGTGGGGCAGGGTACGGGTTCAGCTTCTCGAAAGATGCAGCCCCGCTGACTTCCTCGCCAGCCACCTGCCCGTCAATACTGCTCTGACTCCGACAGGAGCCGTTCTGCTGCCCCGCTTGACTGCTGCTGCCGTTCTCCCGGCTGTGGCCCTCGGCCCCCGACGGGCCCGTCATGTCCACGTGCACAAAGACATCCTCAGCAACGGGCCGGCCGCAGCTGCTAGACTGGGCAGAGTTCAGGATCAGCGGCTCAGGTTTTTCTAGGACACGAGCAATGACTGAAGTGGGCACAACATCTGCAGGAGTTAAACTCAGGGTGTCCGGGTCCTGAGAGCCGGGGACCGGGCCCCGCTCGGGCAGGCTGCTCTTCATGTGTTTATTTAGCATGTCCTGAAGCTCATAGGGCAGCTGCAACACACACACACACACACACAGAAATGAGATAGTAATGCACACAACACACACACACACACACACACACACACACACACACACACACACACACACACACACACACACACACACACACACACACACACACACACACACACACACACACACACACACACACACACACACACACACACACACACAGTATGTGTGCTGCACTTCTCACAGAATCACTCAGACCCTTTCTTCTGACACAACTGAGGACAAAAATAGAACAAGAAGCTGATCCACATATGTCTCTGTTTAAAGCTACATCAAAAAAGACTGAAATAAAATCATGTCAGCTGTGAATGCAGAGCTACTTACATCAGCAAACTTATGGTTCCTGAAATGCGACTTGTTGCATTTGAGCAGCTGGACAGCCAAGTTACAGTCCTGCCTGTAACGCTCCTGAGGATAGAGGGACACACATTTATACACACAGTTACACACACATGATCAAGCTGCACAGTCTGATCTGTGACTTAAACACTTATTAGGAAGATGACATACTGGCTGTAGGCCAATCAGAGGACCGAACCGGTTTGATCATAATCAGTCAAAGGGCTCCTAAATGGAGCTCACCCAGTCTGAGCAAGCTCGGTGTAGATCGTCACCTTATCCCTCTTACAGCAGATTGAAATATAATGCTGGATGACCACAGTGGATCCAATCAGTCAGAAACCGATCAGATCTCAGGTACAGCTGTTTGAGAAGCTGTTGGACAGTAAACAGAAGTGGAGAGGATTTTTTTTTTTTTTTTAACATGATCACAATGTTTATCTGGATATGGAAGGCGTTTGTCCTCTTCTGCAGGATGGTGAGAGGGTTACCACGGTAACCACACAGCCTGGATACAACCTCCAGGGTAAACCTGAAGCACACTGGCATGCTGCTATGGCACGTTAAACATCACAGTGTATATCATTCTGTCGGTTTGATTTGTGTGTTTTGTATTGTAGATAAACCAAATATACAGTATGTTCAAAAGATCAAACTGTCAGTGACAGAAAGGTAAGCACCCCATGAACCCACTGTTCACTTATATAAACACTTTGTTGAACCTCACATACGATTTGTTATGTTGAGATTTGTTGTTACTAAACCATTTCAAGCCACTTGCTGCATGGGGTAGCTACTACAAAGGAGTCAAACAGTAATAAATCTTCAGGTTAATGGACGATAAGAAAAATGAAGCACACTCAGTGCCCTTTAAAGTTTGAATCATCTGGGTAGAGCAGCAGTGTAAAGATCAACAACGGACCTTTCTGTGTTCTAACCTCTCTCCATTTTTCAAAAGCATCTCCAATATTGATCCTAGTTTTACCACGTGTCTAGTTGTGGAGCTTATTAGAAAAATGCAGAGGCTTTTCAGGTCGGGTACAATCAGTTACATCTCAACCGGATGACTTGCCTGCTTCCATCGCTGCAACACCTTTTTAATTACAGTTTATCTGGCAAAACGTGGAGGTGCCTTAAAAGCCCCTCTCTTCTCTGGTCAAAACAAATAAAGACCATTTGAATCTTAGACAGAGGACATACTGGCACTTTAACATAGCATGCTTCCTTAATGTGTGATGATATAGTAAGGTCACTTTATGATCTAACTCAGTAGATATCTTACATATTGCTCCTTGAAGTCTATTCTAAATCACTTGTTTTAAATGTTAACCCTGAATAAAGGCTTCATGAAAAACTTCTCTGGCTTGGAGTCAGGCTCTTATGTCCCTCATGGTCTCGCTGTCTTTGTTCATGAAAAAGTTTGAAGACAGAGAGGGATTAGACACTACACTTGAATAAAGCTGTAATAGGTTTATAATGCGTCTCTGTCATCCTGTAACACTGCTTAAACAAATCAACACTGCGACTTCAACATATTGATACAGGACAAACAGGGAGCGTTAGAGCGCCAACATTTCAGATCTGAAGTAAAACTTTGAGCTCCAACTTCTATATGAAATGTTCACATCAGACAGTTTGGCCCTTTTGTGTGCACAAGATGTTAAACCATGCACAATCTGAGTTGTCCTTATTGTTAAAATTTGATTTGGGAATAACATGAGTCAAAACTATCATTGTGTTTTGTCCAACTCTTTATACATTTCTCCCAATGGGGCATCAATATAGTCTATCTTATCTTAAGCCAGGTGCACCAAGCACTGTGCTATTTAAACTGCAGATTTCAGCCATCATTCTAAAAAGGCTGGGCTCAGGGCAGCTCATGTGTACACACAGATCACACACAGGTCACCACATGAAATATGGTGATGAGTGAGACTACCATTAACTCATGAGGCACAATGGTTGGTTATGTGATCATTTAAATATGTAGACACGCCCACAGGCTGGTCAGAAAACATACTGTTATTTATGCTTAACATCAAAAAAATAAGAATGTCTGCTTATAACTTTTTTTTGCCCAAGATCACACATTAATATTCTTAAAGCAAACATAATGGATACTGGACAGTCCAATCAAATATTCTTGGGTATGTTGTAGTTGGCACTTATAGTAAACTGTGTAATAAATGTACCACTTAGTAGCATGTGAGTGTTTATATGTCATGTCAGCCTTCAGTGAACGGGCTTGTTGGAGAGCCTGGTGATGTCAGCCTTGGGCTGTAGATTTTTGCCCATTCTGGGTTTGAGAATGAAATGACCCTGAGGCAAAAGAGGCATTGGAAGAGGTAGCAATGAGCGTGTCCTCGTCCTTTGGCTTCACAATAATAGCTACACACTGCCAACAGCAGTGGCATGATGTCAGGAGACAATGGGAACAGAAGTTTTCTTTTGTTTATCAGAAAATGAACAGATATTTAAACAAGGAGTTTTCACACACATGGAAATGATGTATGGAAATGGTTCAATGCATCCTTCAGATAGTGATGTGCCACCAATGTGCCTGACAACAGTCCAGTGGGGGCACAGATCCCAGATCGGTACACGTGATACTTAAACAAAGTTGGTGCATTTAAAGCTCTTAAACCCAATTAAAACCAAAGTTAATGTCACAGCTTTCCTTTTGAATTAAGAGCTGTAACATAAAAATAAACAGTAGAATAGTGAACTTGTATGACAGAAGGTAGGTAATGCTTTAATGATTGAATTTATTCTACTTGCTTACATTAAGAGTATGAATTTTAAAGTTGAGATGGGGAGAAAAACGTATTTCACCACACATCCGTGTAATACGGCTCGGCAGTAGCTCAGTCTGTAGGGACCAAGGGTCGCCAGTCCAAGTCCGGTTGCGGACCAAATCTGGAAATTGGTCTGGTAGCTGGAGAGGTGCCAGTCCACTTCCTGAGCACTGCCGTGGTGCCCTTGAGCAAGGCACCTAACCCCCACAACCATCTAAGAAGCGCTCGCTGTGGGCAGCTCCGTCACTCTGACATCTCTCCATTAATGCATGTTCACAGGATCCTGTTTGTGCATGTGTGTGTAACGTCTCAATAACAGAGTGTAAAACTGAATTTCCCCTTGCGGGATCAACAAAGTATATCTTCTTCATACACATAGAAGTAACGTTTCAGATAATCAAACTGTGTTAACATGTTAACTATAACAACATAGATCCGGGTGCAACAAAGCGTCTTTACTCACATTGAGTTCCTCCAGATGGTCAATTGTGTTCTTAGCGTCCAGCAATTTGTTGGTTAGTTCCACAATCTCCTGGTCCATCGTCTTTTTGTCTCTTTCCACCTTCCGTAGCTGTTGGAGAAGCAGGGACATGTACAATATTAACTGTGAATCACAACTACTGAACCAATCAGGAGCCTGAGGTGGCTGGAGGCGGGCCTACATTCAGATAATATGGGAATAAATATTCATACTTGTTTAAACAGGTTTGATTTCATATAGATGCTATGTTGTTAATTTTTGTAAAAGTTGTGATATTTTCTCTCTTTTCTGTTTAAGAAAAAAAATCACAAACTCACAGTCCTTTATGCTTTCTTTTTAAACTAGATTTTACTCTTGTTTTAAAGTAACCTTCATCATCTGAGACCTAAACTGTTATGAGTATTAAGTCTGTGTTTACGTTGTTTTCCCAGATCATTTGAATGCTGCATTAACTAGCAGCACCTACAGATGCATCATGGGATATGGCGATGTGCGCTGCTGCTGCATTAGAGATCAATAAGATCCAGTAAGATCTTGATTGAAGCATCGAAGCTGAAAGGTGAAATGTTTGATTTGAGTTCCTCGCAGAGCAGTGGAAAAAAGCAAGCAGCTAAATTATCTTAAAAAGTTTGCATTAGGTCACATTTTTATTCGAACATCGCAATATATAACTGGTCGTTAAAACAGATCAGGAAAAATGACTGCTGACCTTGATGCTTTACTGCAGATGCAGAAGCTGGAATTGTGCAAATACAACATCTTGTGTAGAGTTTTAAGGTTTATCTTATATCATAAACAGTCATTTAAAACGTTAGTCACATATTTTTGCAACATTAATTCTATAATTTGAGGTAGCTAAAAGAGAAATCAATGTTGTATTTGACTACTACAGAGACATGATAACATATTTAATGATAGTTCCTTATCTGCTAGATGATATTTGCACCCCAACACATCATGTCTGTAACCAAACCTACACCTCAAGCTGGAAGCCTAAAACAGGTCTTCAACTGAAAAAAGCTAGCAAACAATTACAGCGCAAAAATTCAAACAACTGCCAACAAAAGAGTACAAGTTGCACATGTGTGTTACACAGAGTTATCTGGCTACTCATCTGAAGTTAGCTGAGTTTTAGAGATTTTTAAATGTTCTATTCTAAAGTTTCCTCTGTCATGATGCTTTTGATTTCTTGTGTGAAGCACTTTGAATTGCCTTGTTGTTCAAATGTACTGTATAAATAAACCTGCCTTGCCTAAGCTTAGCCCTGCTGCTGATAGTGACTCAGTCCTTCTTAAAATCAGTGCAGCAGTTATTTGGTGTGTTATTTGGTTTCAGAGTGAAAGTCCTGACCTGTCAGAGCGATCAGTTTCACATTGGCTGTGTCCGAAACACTCACTGCTCCCCATGTCTTTAATAATATGTTGAGTTTGCCAAATTGTAGTGCTGTCCCAAATGTTTAACAGAGTTATTAAACACTTCATGCATTGCATTAAAAGAAAAAGAAAGCTAAAATGTCTTCACTGTAATCGCGCAGTAACCAGAAGTGTTTTGTTTTTGTTAACTTTCCTCATAAGCTCACTTTGTAGTGCCCTATGAAGAGCTCTCTAAAGCGTAAGTATGCCACAGTGACTGGCTCAAAGATTTCGGACACACCCATTGTCATGTAAATTTCAATTTGCATTTCATTAACAGCTTTAAAAAGAAGAATGCTCAGGTAGCTGCTATGAGACAGACAGAGCTATCACACCGAGACTACATAGTTTGTAGTCTGATCATTTATGATTTCATTTCTTTCTAGAATTCTTTTCACAATAAGCGATGAGCACAGCCCTCATCCACCAAGATTATTCTTCAAAAAAATTAAAAAATGTCACATGACTTTTGATGTGAAAATTGTAGAATAAAAATTCAACATCACAATATGACTGAAAAGGAAACATTGAGGCAAGAATTCTAAAAGAATGAGGATTAAATACTGAACTTTTCTCATATCTTAACACTATTATTTATCTCTTGCTTGTAAATGTTTGTGTTTCCTTCTGAGGAGAAACTCAACAATATATAGTAGAGTAGAATTACACAACTTGACAACAACTTAAGGATGTCAAATATCAAAATTTGATTATTTCGATAAACTCAAAGAGGCAGACTTTAATCTTTCTAAGATTTCTCCTCCAGTTCAAGCTCATACATAAAATCAGCGATGTTACAGAGGTCCACGTAGTCAGAGTGCTGAAACACCTTAAACAGTAACAGACACCAAAGAAGAAGAAAAGTCAGGGAGGATGAAAAGATGTGGGAAGGTGGAGATAAGGAGAGGAGGAGAAAGAAAATGAATGAAACCCAACTGCATGAACCCATGTCTGACTGACTGCAGCCTGATGAGGATGATGAAGATGATGATGGTGATGAAGATGAGTAAATCCATCACAGAGCAGCGTGAGAAAAGAGGAGAAAGAAGAAAGGGAGAAAATACAGAGATGAAGAACAACATCAGACAAACAGATTCTAAGGAAACGTGTTGCATTATTTTACAAAAACAGTTTTTCCTATTCCACCCCCCGAGCAGTCTTTTAAAATGTTGTCAGAGTAGTAGTGTTATCCTGATCAAAAGTTGTGAGATCCTGTTTAACACAGTCATAAAATGTAGCATGAACAGTGTTGATATGTTGCATTAAAGGCAGGAAGGGTATCTTCCCTGAGCACTATCCTCCTCATTAGGACACGAGTATCTTGTGTGTATTCTAAATGAGATAAAATGACATGAAAGGACAAAGCGTAGTTTAGAGTGTAACTCTCATGGGGACATTTCCTCAACCTTCTGTTTTTTTTATGGATTTGACTGTTCAGTGACTTCTGATGATAAATCACCAATGGGAATCTTCCTGCTGTCCGTCAACTCCAGTTTTCCACAGTCAATCAATAACATGCCTCAGTGTGTTTTCATTTAGTCATTGATCATTTATTGACAGTTAGATCAATGACTCACACACACATGCACTATCCTTGCACTTCTCACGAGGACACACTCACACATACAATCACTTGCTGTAGAGAAAATATAAACCATCACATATTGATCTGTATCTTGCCCCCACTAATTCCCTGTGCTGAGCTGGTCCTCCTTAAACTAGACTGAGATTACCATTATTATTATTTTCTGGTTATTCTTCTGATTTGAATCGAGTTTTTTATCCAAACACTCTTAATGAAGATACATTTTATTATTATCAACATTATTTTGCATATGTTTTTTATCATTATAACTCAGTTCTTTATGGGAGTTGGATCCCAGCTCCATCTTAGAGGAACAACAAATATCACTCGTCATACAATTAGAGCCCGACTGTTTAATGGGCCAAGTGACTATCGTATCGGTTGTTTTATCGCAGATATGCGACGATATTACTCGATTTATTCACCAGACAAATAGCATTTCTTTCAAGTTTTATAGTATTACATTAGCAGTTCTCTTTCACCAGCAGAGGGCGCTGTATGGATTACAACAAGCGCGAGTTACCATCTTGTCTTCTTTTCCACAAGTGTTTGATAACTGCATTTGAAGGATCAACTCAATAAATATGTACATTATATCTATCTCTACAGATGTCATCTATATGAGAAAGATATCGGCCGATAAATCGGTAGTGAATTTTTTCCCCTCCCAATATCAATATACAGTAGGTATCAGCCCCAAAATCCCAGATCAGTCAATAATAAACCCTAAATATGATGTGAACTGTATTTAACTTTAAACATAACTACTTACAGAAGTTTTGATTTACTTTACTTATTTATTTAAGGAAGAATGCGCAACTTTTTGATCCCTTGAGCTCCAGCATTAAACAAAACAAACTGCTGTTTGGCGACACCTCCGCTCTTCTGAAGCTCTTCTGAAGCTCTTCTCCAGAGACACACCTCCAACCCCTCTCCACCCGCGTTCACACGAAGGAGTTATGAATTATAAAGCACCATAATAAAACACCAGTAAGCACAAGCGGGGGACAAAATTGTCCTTTGCTCGTGCTGAAATTCCCTGTGGCATTGTGGTGTTAGCATGCTAATGTTAGCATACTTTGGTTAGCTCGTAGCTTTATATTGCACATAAACTGACACAGAATGATTGTGATCTAAAGACACTTAGGCGACATTAAAATAAGCAGTGAGGAGGCTGTGTCATTCTTCTTTTCTTTAGTCCTAGACTAAAACAGCTTTATATGCAAGGTCGTCCCGTTTGGGTGTTTTTTTCTATTCATGACAGCTAAGAGGGTTTTGTAGTCTTGTTTGGTGTGAATCACTGTTAGAAGCTTAATTTAACTAAAATACATCACAGAAGAAAATGAATAATCACATCAGGAATGTTTCACTGCAATGATTGTTCAGACTGACTCACTTCAATAAGTTGGGTGATATTTGACAAGTAATATGAATGTGTTGGAGGTCAAGGGATTCATTTTTTATTTTTTTATTTTTTTTTTAAAGTTACCAAAGCGTGGAGCTTCTCCTCCAGATCCTGATTGGCTCTCTGAGATGCTGTGTAGCTGTTCTGGAGTCTGCAGAGAGAGAGAGAGAGAGAGAGAGAGAGAGAGAGAGAGAGAGAGAGAGAGAGAGAGAGAGAGAGAGAGAGAGAGAGAGAGAGAGTCAAACAGAAGCTTAACTTTCACATTTCATTTTCTTTACATTTCTTACAGGGTATGTTGATTTTCTCAGAAAGTTTTTTTCATAGTCATATATGCTACGCACACATACATAAAAGTCCTGAACATTTCTAGAACTGTTTGGGATGAGTTGCATGTGTGAACTCAAATGGACACATTTTTTCACCCAGTCTATTTCCTGCCATCTCCCCAGTAAATCTTCGATGTATGAACATTAACATGAGCCATGAAGGTTACATGCAGGAAAATGTACTCCAGTCGAGCATTAATATCACACGACCAGCGACCGCTGTATGCATGTTATGAACACCATTTTTTAGCTGGCAGGCGAGTTCCACCATTGGATAGTCTGGGAGCTGCAATGCATTATGGGCGGTTTATTATGGCCAGTGTTCTCCTGTGTCACACTTGAAAAATCAGGCCAATCTCGTATATCCAGACATTTCTCACATGCATACAATTGTTCATACTTTAATATGCGTATAACAACATTCTTCATACTCAGTGTGACATCAAACTTAGTATGAAGTGTAGAAAGGATGCCGTTTAGGATACAGCCATTACTCTTCTCTGCTCACCATTAGGTTTTTTTTTCATCTTGTCTGTTGTTCCACACACATCCAATCTCACTTGTCACCTTAAAGGCAAAACTGTCATCATAGTGTCAGACTCTGCTTTGCCGCCATCTTGGATATCTTGTAAACATTACAATCCATACATTTCTAGAAATCTTAAGGAGTGTGTATGTGAAAAATCTAACACAAAGCCAATCACAGCTGACTTTTAACTCAAAGCCAGGTCAAGACTAAAGCTGACTTACAGTTTCAAAAGCCCTGTTCAGAATACCGTTTCAAAGCGTTTCAACATTTACTTCCCTGTGACTTCTTGCCTTCAATGTGAATGTCACAGAGCTATAGTAATGCATACTCCCCCCGTTCCCCCCGTCCGTCCGTCTCACCCCTGTAATGCCTCTGTTCTGTCTTGGAAGGCAGTAATAGAGGCATTACAGGGGCGAGACGGGGGTGGGGCGGGGGGGGGCATGCCTGACCGTTTGTGTATGTGGAGCTCCCACTGTGCTGTGCTCTGTTGCGTTTATGCAAAGCTGTAAGGCGATGAATCCACAGACTGGGACACCAATACTACGCCGTTACCAAATCACTGTGAATGTCTTAAGGTGTAAGGACAGCAGAGAGCAGAGTCTGAAGCCGAGTGCTCGTTTTGTTAAGGTCAAGTCAACTCAAAATGAAGTGTCCTCTTAGTTAAGGACCTCATTAGGAAGCATTTCAGGTTCAGAACCGTCAAAAGTTCCAGATGGTTAAAAACTCCTTCAGCTGATCTTCTCCTCCTCCCCTCGTCTTCACTCTTCTTTCTCTTTCTAATGTTAAACCTTAAGCTTCATTAGGCAGCGACTTCCTCTCTCATTCACAAGCTGCTTATCACCACAGAGCAAAATTAAAGTGATTTATGGCTCCAGAAAAATGTAACTTTAAAGATTGAAACAGCTTTAAAACAAGGCAGGGAGAAAAGATTCAGACTGCAGGCGAGCTTATAAAATATATTTTATTAGTCGAATTGGAAACGTTTTTTCAGCTCTGTTCAGATGGGAGTCTTAAAGACAATAGTGTGAACAAAAGCAGTCTAGCAGCTGTAGGGTGTTATGAAAAGGTTTGTCTGTCCTCAGCATAATAGTACAATCCAATTTAAAGATACTTAATTTCAGCTTCCCACAAATCATCATTGGAACTGTCATTCCAAAGGTTAGAGCAAGATTATCCCCTGAATAGAATTTATAAAAAGAACAATAATCAAATCCATTAATATCAACTTCAATATGACATCGTTAAAGGTCAGAGTGTCTCATCAATGTATTCTTGTTTATACATTCATATACTCTGATGTAGGGTTTGAAGGCTTGCAGGATGAATACTCTCCTGAACATTTTAAGAAATGGGGTAAATTGGAAATCTAATATGGTGGAAGAAGCAACAGAGCCTGAACCTATATTGACTGTTTTTTATGTTTTTGTTTGTGCTTTTGTACCAATGCTAATGTGTGATTGGATGATAATATCACAAAAAGGTCAACAAGAAGGTATTGGGGAGCAGACTATGAAGCAGCTTCAGTGTGCACACAACCATCGTCACGGGGTATAATAGTACTCAGAATGCAGAAAGCAGAATATTTCTGAAAAACAATCTTCCTTGCCTTGACATGATTATATAAGACCAGCAGCACAGAGGAAGAAAGGCCTTCATCAAACTGGACCCCATGAGCATGCTTACACACAGAATCTAGAAGTAGAACATTGAAACTACAAATAAAAAGCACCACGAGTGTCACAGCACGCCAGAATCCATCTCAACCTAGATGCATGTTCCCAGTTTTTTTTAATTCAAAACACAAAATAAGTGATTTTGTGTGGTTTGAAACAGACCCGTTGCCTAATTGGTCTGAAAACCTTAAAAAGTTGGCTGTGACAGGCGTTACTTTGAAATGTTACATCATGGCTGGTTTTGCATTATTAGATGATTTGGTGAAGCGTGCGCTCTGCAGTAAGTCTGTTCAAAAGAGCGCACTGATCTGTTTGGTCCAGCTTGTTCTGTTGGGAGAGTGTCACTGTTTGATTAATCCCCCAGAGAGAGCTGTGCCCCCGACCACGCTGTAAATGTTCAAGGGTGAAATTGTGGAGCAGATACTTCTCGCTATTGTGCCGTGATGCGTTGTTATTGTTTGCACTGAACTTATTATCAAACTTCATCTTGGTGTTTTCTCCTCTGACCTGTCACCTTCTCTCATGCAGCATTTGTTCTTTTGTTAGTAACTTCGACTAATCATTTATCTGGGTCACTTAGCGCAAGAGTTACTAACCTTATTTTATCCCTTTATTTATTTATCTATTTATTTATTTCCCTTTTTTATTCAACCTCTTCCACTTCCATTCCTGTTGTGATGAAGCTCCTTTTCTTTGCTCTCGTAGTCATTATTCCGGCGAGGTAAATATATTCAGGTGGTGTTTAAAGAGGTGTGTTGTTACCATAAATGGTTCATTGGAGGCGTTTCTGAATGCAAATGTCCCCGAACGTGCATGTGCCTGCTGGTTAAGAACATGGGATTTATCAACATTTTTGTTCTTAGAAACATTCTAAATTTCATTTGTAAGACAGAATTAAGAACACTTTTTACGCACTGTTGATAGGTGAGGCCCCAGAAGACTGTGGACACTTTAAAACCACATGAAACACCTGAGATCTCCGCTTACTTTGACAGCCAATAACAGACCAGCTTCTGGACGTCAGCCATTCAGCTCACTTATTAGACAGCAGTGTCACTTTTGATCTAGAACCAGTTTTAGAAAAGCTAAAAGAAAAACAGTCAAAGCACAGAGGGGACAACATGATGACCTTTAACATCATCACAGGTAGAACCAGAAACAACCAGAGTGTGATCCAGGTCATCATCAGACTCTAGTCGTGTATGTGTCATGCCATCATTTGACTTGACGTGCTTCATCAGAACCCTCACCTGCGGAACTTGTCCCTCATCTTGTCTAGGTCATCTCTGGTTCGGCTGAGCTCAGCGTCCATGTAGTGACGGTTGCCATCAAACTCCGCCTCCATGGCCTCCATTTTGTGGTTGGTGAGAGAGAGGCGGCGCTGCAAGTCTTCATTCTGCTGCTGGAGGATTCTGGGTAATGTGGGGGAAAGTTCAAGAGTCACATAAAAGCTGTCTTTAGAAACTCAGTACACATTCTAAAGTTTCATACTGTGACGGCCTGGATGTAAAACAGTGTCCTCTCAGATTTTTAATAAACACTCTCAACAATAGACGATACAGACGTTAATCTGTAAGCCAGCGTGCTGCTCATGAGTGAAGCCAGCAGAGTCAGAGTGAGACACGTTGATTGTCTAGAATAAAATGGCTCAAAAGTATTTCAAGTAAACCGACAACGGAGGTGGAGTTATGATTCTAGTTTGAAGGAAATGGTTATAAATAAAGCATGAAAAGATGGATAAACAGGACTGATAAACTACAGGACGATCTGCACGTGCTCTCCACCCTGCAGAAACAGAAGATAATCTGAGAGAAGGAGATAAGTCTCTCCTTAAATATATAATATATGGAATATGGAGCAACAGACTCTTGAGTTGTGTTTGCACAAACAGGAAAGAGAGAAGGGTGGGACACGGCGCTGTGTGTATTAATAGAGGAGATATGTGTGTGCACATGAAAAGCAAACAGACGACCACTGTCATTCTGTAGGAAATAACTAAATGTGAGAATAAATGTATATTTTTTTAAATAAAAACAAGATTTGCTCTTTTCTTAAAATGTGTCTACAAAAAGGGGGTGGTCTTATAATCAGGACATTACAGTATTTGAGTTGTGGACAATACTACTTCTGCTTTGTGCTGCTTTAATTCAACTGCACCTTGGATAAATTGTATATAATTCAGAAAACAACTGAGGTTACTGACTGAGATTTCTTAAACTCATTAATCTGTTTACCGATATTTTACAGCTTGAACGAGCTGCAGGGAAATTCTTACTTTGATTGTGCTGAAGTGAAAGATGATGTAGCTTCTCACAGCTGCCTGTTGTTTGTGATGTGTTTTACATACATTGAAACAGTGTAGTCACAGATTTTTATTTACTCCACTTATACTTCAGAATTGTTACAACCAAAGCAGGAAGGAACCCAACCACAAGACATGTGAAATGTTACTTCAGGACCATTTCACAATACTCAGTTAAAAAATAAAAGTACAGAAGTATCAGAGGAGTCAAGAATGACTATCACAGAGTGATAGTGCTGATCTTAAAATGAATATTGTACTGGTAGTAGAGGTGGGGGGAAAAAACGATTTATGTAAAAATTGAGATTCTTATATTCTGAGATTTTAAATAGATTCATAACTTCCAAAAAATCCACAATTCTGTGGGCTGATCAGTCACTCCCTGCTAAATGCTAAGGCTAGCTCTTTAACTCAGTAGAATGCCAAATAGAGCAACAAGAACATCAGCCAGTCTCACAGATATCTGGAGTATATGATAAATAGACTTGAGCTTGTAAAGCACTTTTCCAGTCTTCTGATAGTCAAAGCACTTTTTACGTAACAGTCATTTAATCGAATCGTGACCCCAAGAATAGAAATCAAATCATGAGACACCCAAAGATTCCCAACCCTAACTGGTAGTATCAGCAGGTTTTTCTTTTTAAACATGGAATTGAAGAATAATCTGCAGTATTTATTGGTGTTACATCTGTTATTTGTAAAATCTACTCTCTGAAGTAACTGAGAAGAACTGTCAGGAAGAATAAGAGAAGTGAGCAATAAAATATATTCTTACCTGATCCTGTCAGATTCTGATATAGGCTCCTGAAACAGAAGAAACACCGTTTTATTAAACAGAATTTAAAAATAACATTCAGAGAGTTTAAACATCAGCTATATGTGGTCAGATCTACTCTCTTCTCTGAGAGCGCTACAGTCAGTTTCCATCTGTACCGTAAGAAGAACTCATTCAACACAGATCAAATAATCTAAAGAATATCATCCACTCTGATATCAAACATGGCATCCACAGACAAACAGCACACACTTAAAGTTGTGGAGGAAGCTTCCAGTAAATAACCAGAAAGAAATGTGTAAGCATCTTCAAACAAACTATCTTGAAGATGAATGATCTTACTCAAACATCAAGATATCCTGTTTGTTTAAACACTTCAATATGTTTGTTTTAATGAAAGTTATCTTGACCTAACAACGTCAACTATTGTAAGTGTATTTTCTGATCATATCTCTTTTTTGTGTTTTTAAACTGTAGATTATTGTATTAATGATTATTGAATAAGTTAAACGAATCTGTCAGGATATTCAGGAATCTGAACCCGTTCCTCATTTGCCACAACATCTTTGTTTTGTTATCCTTCAGGACTTCAGGGGACCGCTTCAGAAAGCAGGTTCTACACAGGTTCAGTGTAAACACTGAAAGGAGAGAAACTCTGGAGTTTTCTGTTTCAGTAAGTGTGGTCTCTAAAACCTGAGTAAGAAGGGTAACTCAAGTCCGTTCCAAAAGAGAGGTCACTTAAGCGCTGAGTCGGTTACTATGGTAACTAAATATGTGAACCTAACCTGGTCGGGAGCAGTTTTCGTCGATGAACGTTAGCGTGTTAGTGGATATCCATCGTTCGTCTGAATAAAAAAGTTGTTTTAATATAATCTGTTAGGCATACTATTTAAAACGTGCTGTTTCATCACACATGGCATGTCCTTTGGTCAAAGAGCCTGTAGATGAAATTTACATCAGCTGGTGTTAATCTAATTATGCCTAATGAATGAACTGTGATTCAAGGGAGCCTTTTATCCCTAAACCTTTCCTTCTGAATTACGTTCTTTCAATTGGAGCTGCTTCCAAGTCTGCATTTCTCCAGCCGGATTTTCAAAATAAAATTGACATTCAATACAATTCCTCCAGTTTTCACTAGCAGTATATAAGTGTGAGTAATTATTAAATGCATGGACTCGTGTAGCAATTTTCTCCCACGCTGCTTCGCTCTCCTTTGCCACTGCAGCTGTGTTCTTTTCTTTTTCTAAAGACATAAATACACACTGTATGTTCTCATGAGGACGATTACTCATGAGGGGTAAAGTAAGAGAGCCCATTTTTGTCAACTGTTGTCATCGGGGTTCCATTAATGTTGGCTTGTTATAGTTGTGTTGCACACACGGCTGTACCGAGTGAACCTACATATTTGATATAAACTCAAATCAGCTGTTCTGGAACCAGAAACTGACTTTCCCATCTGAGGTCAAATCCACTCAGAGTTCAGGGTTAGACTCAGTGTTTGTTAAACCTCCATTGTGAAACGTGCCCCAGGACTGCAGAGCTGCTAAGTGAGTCATCCCATGACCGATATGTGTCAGTGACGTCAGGTCAATAAACATCGATGAAGCGACATTGTAGAGACATTCGGATGTTTTCCATTTCTTTATCATCTGTATTATTGATCCTGTCGACTTATGGAAACACATCCTCACCCAGCATGCATTGGAATTTTGATTGATTACCAACAGAGCAGTATTATCAATGACTAAGCTGCTGTGACTGGAGCGTTGGAAGGCCAATCACACTGCTGCTGCACTTTTCATTCCTGATGATTTGTTGTTGACACTTTTCGTGTCACGATTGGTAATCAATGAGGAGCAGGTAGAGATGAAAAGCCTGCAGCTAGTTGAGTTAAGATAAATCCATGTTTCATCTCCTAGCCTCTGTAATGTTGCATTCTGGGTATTATGGGGACTATTCAAACCAAATCCATGTAAAGATCATCGACTGTAAATATTAATGTTTGAAGCCTGAGTGATGTCAGCCATATGTTCCTGCAGGGGGCGCCTGAGGCTCATCAGCAGCAGCCGCCATGCTGGAAATCCTGTCTCAGCCTTTCAGTTAACAGGCTTAACGCCTCTTGACGAACTGTTACATCGCGCCCACCAATCATGTCAGCCTATGGATAACACGTATTGTTTACAAAATCAAGCTGAGCCGTTTAAAAAAAAAATCACTATTCAGATATATTTGTTTTTTTGTACCAGGCTGTAAACATGTTTATTTATGCTGTAAAAATGTCTTCTTTTTTCAGTCATGTGTGTGTGTGACTTCCGGTGTTCCTGGAGTCAGCCTCAAGTGGACACTGAATGAACTGCAGGATTTTGCACCTCCGCATCGGCTTCATTATTCAAGACCGGAGGTTACCACTTGGTGAAGACAAAGAAGTAAAGATGTATACAGCCTGAGTTTATACTATACTTTAATACTTTACATGGGGGTCTATTTTCTAACAACTTATCATTTACAGAATAAGGGGGCACGGCTGATTTGACAGACAGGTGCATTGTAGCTGTTTGCCTGGAGGCTTAATCTTAATCGAAGGATTTAAAGGACTGAGAAAAACTACTTTTATATTCAAATACACAAATCAAGACAATTTACATGATTTCATTATTTGTTAACTTATTTGATAGAATTCAAGGAATTGTTTAACCCTTTCATGCATGTACAATGAAATCAGATTTGTTTCAGTATTTTTTTACTTCTTAGGACACAAAAAGTGACGTTAATTTCTTTAAAATATTTATAATTCTGAAAAAGTTAAAAAAGTGTCCACTAGAGTGGATATCATTCAATGCTGCAACTCAAAAAATATTTAATTATTCTAAAATAACAGATGTTTTTCCTTTACCCATTACATTTTCAGTTTGTCCACGGGGGTGGAGAGAATAATTTGGAGTTTTTTTAATTTAATTTTTTCTGTCTTTGACTTTTGGAGTTTCTCCTGTTTTACACTGGAAAAATCATACGTAATGAGCTCAAACGTTTTTGCCTGGAGGCTGCCAGAACAGCACAACGGTATACATTTGTGGGAGAGTGAATATTATGGGCTAGCATGGGTTTGAATTCAGAATTGAGCTCTTTCCATTGAAACACACTGAATGAATCCAACGTCATAACACATTCCTAAACCACATGGCAGTTGAGACTCTTCATTGTTCATCTTGATTTCAAGGACATTTGTGTTACTCCTTACAACTGCTGGTCAGTGGGTGGCAGTGTGTGTGCTGACTTGCTACAGTCCAGTAAGGTGGTGAAACTATTCCATCAAAACCCATGCGTTTAGAACAAAACAGATTTTCAAAGAACAGTTTGTTTCAACACAGTACATGATGATGGTTGTCCCGCTCTGACCTACCTTGATGTGAGACAGATGACACTGATTAGAAACAGGAGGTTTGTGTTTGTGTCTCTGTGGCTCTTCTGTCTCCTGAACCCCCGTCTTTACTCCTCTCCTCATCCCCAACACTTCCTCATTAGACCCTGTTCCTTCTGTGACATCACCTTGTTGTTGCCCCGCCCCCTCATCCAGCAGAGGCTGATACCAGCTGTCGGCCCGCTGCATTGCTGCAACCCAGTCATCCCAGCGTCTTGTCCTTTCTGCAGACAGATCCCCCTCCTGCTGCTTTCTGAGGTTAGGGCGGCATTGGCGGCGCTCAGCGGCAGGGCTTTCATGTTCTCTAGAAGGTGCCCTGCCTAGAAGTGAGAGGCTGGCAGGGCTCAGGACCCGACAGGTGATTTCATCCAGAAAGTTGGAGAAGCGGACCTTCTCCTCCAAGGCGTGCATCCTCCAGTTCCATTCAGTCCTGCAGGGGGAGGGCGGGGCTGAGGACCGCCGTGACACAGGCAGTTTCTCCTCCGAATGGTCCAGGGACCGAGTGGGCCGGTGGGTGTTGCTGCTGCGTTGGCTACTATCATCTAACAGCTCAACTGACTTTGACTTCCTTATGATGTCATATGCATGCTCCAGTCCTAACAGGGCGGGCTGCTTCAGGATGCTCTTTGGGGTGGGTGCAGTCGAGGTCCTGTGTGCCCAGCTGTGATGCTCTGCTCTGGGCTGGAGCTTGGGGAATGTTTCCTGGCTGCTCCGGGGCTTCGATGTGCTGGATAACCCTCCTTTGCACTGCTGATGAAGTGACTGACTGTATGGTGTGGACTCGTGGCGACCCCTGATTTTGTTCTCGTCCTTGTGGTCCGGTTAGGGCGGTTGGCGTTGCTGCTGAAGAGGGGTGGTGGCGGGATGCAGAGCTCCAGGCTAGACAGACTAGACACGTCCAGTTCACTTTCAGAGAGAGGAAGATGTGGAGCACCATGTCGTGACCCGACGCTTTGTGGCCGTTTAGAAGAAGCAGCATTTGAAATTAAGTGAAATTGCTGCATAGGGTTGGGAGGTGCGTTTAAGTTTACCTGATTGATGTGCTGTGGTGCAGGTGGTGGCGCAGCGGAGGGTAGGGCTTGGCGTGTCTCACGATGCTGTGGTGGAGCCTTTCGGTATGGCTTCCTTGCAGGGGCTGCACTCGTCATCCTGGGCCCTACTTCCTTTTTTCCTCACTTCCTTCCTGTCGGTGTGTCAATCCTGCCAGGAGAAGAAGAGTTAAATGAAGTACCAAGTGACGCAGATTCCCACCAACCGCCTGCCAACAGCCATCCAACCGCCCACCACAAAGCCTCAACCACAACTGTACTCTGACACTGCTGTCACACTCTCTCTCCCTCTCCCTCTCTCTTTGCAGATCAATGCTTGTTCGCCCCTCATCAACATCAAGCATGCCTCCATCTCTGCACACACCTGCATGTTTATTTGTGTCGATTGCAACAAAAATATAAGTTGTGTGTCATATGTTGACTTTTCTTGTAGTTTTACGTTTTTGAGGACCAGGCTTGAGGTTAAGAGCTGAAGTGTGAGGACATTTTGGCACAACAATGTTCCATCAGCCGTTGAGAAAATGTTTTCACAGTGTAGGTAAAGTAACCCACAAACATCTCAACAAATAAAGCTGTCTCTAACAATAGAATAAAAAACAACAATATATACTCTGTGTGTGTTGTGTAAGCAGAGTATGTGTGTAGTGTGTGTAGAGTGTTTGTAAGTGTGTGTGTGTTGGTGTGTGTGTGTTGGTGTGTGTGTGTGCCTCAGGCGGCAAATTGATCTCAGTTTGTTTCCAGAACAGGAAGTGCAGCTCCATTGATCAGAATGAGGCCAACAATAATGTGTCAGCATTGGCGAGCTAATCAGAATGACACAGCTAGCATTGCTAACAGAGGTAGCATAGCTACTGTGAGTCTGTAACACACTCTGATCCAGAAGAAAAATCACATAACTGTCTACCCATGATGTTATATGCCATTACAGAATCATACACATGTTATCTTCTGAGTAACTGAATAAATTAAATACAAATTTCTATGTAAAATGAGGATTTTGTGTGACGGTGTTTCTGCGGGTATATGCTGTCTCAAATGAACGGTCTGTTTCTGTTCAATGACCCGCTCCATTTAGAGTTTGTCCAAGTCACATGACCACGTTTTTTCCTGAGGGGAACAATGATGGGCCATCGATCACTGTGTGACTTTTTGTGTAACGAACAACACACACACACACACACACACACCCCGAGTAGAACCATTTGATGACGTTTCATTGATATCTCTAAATACTACAATCCCCATGGACGGTTTATCATGACCACAGGCCCTGGACACAAACTTGCCTTAGATCCCCACCTACAGAATGCAAATATTATACTCGTCCTGCATGTGTCCTCCCCAAGCAGAGAGAATATTTATGGTTCAAAAATACTATAATAACCCTGTTAAACTCAATGATGGAACGTTAACTTTCTGTCGCCCATTATGGTCCTCGAACAATCTTAGCAGATACAAGAGTAGACAGAATATGAGCAGTGTCTCAAAGTTATTTTCCCTTCCTTCCTTTTGTAGACATAAAATAGTTAGCACGTAGAATTAGCTGTTTGCGCCTTGCATCTCACTTTGCCCTATGACAATACCCATAAACCTTTGCTGCTGTTGCCATGTTGTGCACTGTGAAAAAGCTTTCTTAAAACAAATGAATCTTTTATCAGGTTTCTACAAAATGCTGTAATTAGCTTCAGCTTTTGTAAAATTTAAAACCTCTGTTTGTTTTTGTGAAATGCACTCTGGGAGTTGTAGTTGACCTTTATCTTTGAGTTATTATGTCAACCGCATTCTTGTTGTTTTGAAAAACTAGACTGTTAAAAAAATCATGTGCTGTATGATGATGTATAAAAAATGACACAATCATTTCTTTAAACAGCTGTGCAGCTTCTTCTCAAACAAACAATATATCTATTTACTGGGAAATGATGAAAAGCTTAAGGTGGCTAAGCTAACCACTGTCAAGCACAGGTAGGAGAAGCAGGACGTCTTTACTTTGTCTAACTGAAACTTCTGAATTTTACACGCCAAAGCCTTGAGCATTTTTACCCAGCATGCTCTGCTCTTATGCACCACTCACAAACATATGAACTCTAACTGCAATTACAATGAACTTCCCGAAAACTAATGTCCTCTGCAGCAGGCATCGTTTTTCCTCCCTTTCCCCCTCCGTTTCATGTTCCTTTTCTGTGTCCTCTTTCATTCTTTTGTCTTTTTTGCATGTTTTATTCATTCACTTATTTCTGCCCTCATTCACTGCTTCCTAGATTTCAACGCCTGACAGCTTCTCCTTATCTCCTCTTCAGTTCCAGCCTTTATTTCCTAACTTTCCTTTTACCGCTCTCGTAATCTTCTCGTTTCCACCCTTCTTCCTTCCGTTCATATTCCTCCTCCTTTTCCTTATTGGACAGGTTTGGATAAAAACTATTCAGGTTTGTAAAATGTAACTTTATAAAACAGAGCCAACACCTCTCTGATAAAGACAGCTTAATGTCATAAAAGCCCTTGACAAAAAATGTTACCTTTCTGTTACAGAGCCTCCAGATGTTGTTTTATAGGTTTGAAGTTTTTCAGGATGTTTCAGGATGTGACATTGCCATTTCAAAATGTGTGTTTGTACCTGAACTGTGAGCTGCTCCGGTACTGACTTCATCCACGGAAACAACACAGCTAAAAAAGATTCACAGGATAAGCTGTTAACGTTCACATCAAGGAGACTTTCATTTAGATTAAAAACAGGAAAGGTATCAGTTGACTAACACATATGCTGTGAGGAAAATACAGAGGGGAATATATATTTGTATACACACACACATTTTACATTATCACTGCAAGTAACCTCCATCCATTCATATTCACAATGACATCAACATCTTTAGAACTTCATGACTGAAATACAAAAACCTGATTCTTCACTCTGACGTAAAATACAAATGAACTCTTCAAAAGCTAGAAAAGAGCCAAGGCCACAGAGGGAGTTTGTGTGTATTTCTATCCTTGTGAGACCAATCTGTCCCTGAATAGACCCTCACCTCGTACGTCAGCACAGAAAACTCCTCATCTTCTCTGCAGCGTCTTTCCTCAAGCACTCTGACGAGTTCCTCCTCTTCTTTCTCCTGTGGGCATGTGAGCCTCCGGCCTCTGATAACCTGAAACACAAGACGGTCGGATGGAAAAACACGAGTCAATACCTACTGTCAGTCAGCCTGCAACACACAACTGAGGGGGACAAAGCGCCAGAGAGACAAGCTTAAAACTGGTTAAAAGCTAAAAAAAAAACCATGCCAAAGACATTCAAATATAGGCTTAAGAAAGGCTAACGACTAACCAATGGTTAATAGCTCATATTACTGGCTAAATATAGGCAAAAAACTAAAGACATGCTAATAGCTAACAGCTAAAAATACTGGTCAAATATAGACAAATAGTTGAAAACAGGCTTAAGTCAGTAAACAGGCTAAAAGCGATAATCAAACATCAAAGATAAACCAACAACTCAAAAAAAAAAAAAAACAGCTAGCTTTTTAAGATGCATGCCAAAGACCATCTTAAAGCTTAAACATATCTTGAACAGATTACAGCCCAAAACACAAGCTACGCAAAGTCAGAACCTGATTACACGGACTAATCCTGCATTTATGTTGGGTTTGAATAACAGGAAAACCGTTTTCTGACTGGGAAAATTCATGCTACCACCCCTCAGAACAGCTTCTCAGAAAGTCCCATAATGTGATGTTATTGTATTGAGTAGACTGAATTAACTTATATTATGAAAGAACATGGCAGATCAAAGTAATAGTTAATGTTAAAGTTACCTTGACTGAGAATTCAAGATTCAGGAATTCAGACTTAAATTACGAGATGAAGGCTGAAGTGAAGCTTTAAACTCAATATACAGAATAAAACAGTGATGTCCTGCCCTTGCTGCACAATGGTTTACGTAGTTGGGTTGTTGGGTCCAATAAGTGCCATGTGGTATATGATAGGTGGATTATTTGAGTTGTCATTACCTGGCTAACTCCTACAAACAGAGCCTGTGGTCTGCTGAATGTGACCATACAGTTTGGGTTGTGTTGGCCAATTGGCCATATGGTAGGTTATGTAACTTATTATCAGTAGGGCATAATTGGGATGAGGGGTTTCTTCACTGAGCGTTTATCCTTTTCACAAGGGCACATGATTATTATGTTTGATTCAAATACAAAAACATACAATCAGACCAAAACTTCTTTCATAAAATATAATATATATATAAATAAGTTAAAAGCTACAGGCTTAGCTAAACATCTCAAAGTGAGGCTTATGTGATGAGACTGTGATACACACCAAAAGGCTAAAACAAAAAAATATATATTAAAGAAATAAAGATGAACAAATAACACTAAAACGTCTATATTGACAGGAAATGGATGAATTGCAAACAGAGAAGCTAAAATGCCAAATTGCACGGGCTACAGCTTAAAGACACTGGCACGGGGAAAGAATCAGGTCAAACACGCAGCACAGGGTTTAGCCAAGTTAACCTCTCAATTACCAGCTGTCAGGAATATGTTTACATTCTAATTAAATAAACCGTTAGGCAAACAAGTGTAATTACCACCGCTTCATATCAATACACAACAACTCCCAGAACCCTCGTGTGTTTTATTAAATCCTCAATGATGCTAATGTTGGACATTTTAACAACTTGTGTTCCAGAGTCACGGTAACCATTTACAGCGGATTCATTTTCATAAAACTATCTGAATTCAGCACTAGTGTAAACTCTTCCCTGTGCACATCCTCAGCTGAGTCAGTGTTGGGTGACTGCTGTCGGTCTATTGGATGAACCTGTTGGCCTCATTCAGACTGAAACTACCCGCTGCCTTAAAGCTGGAGATTCTAGATAATCAGCAGACCTGTACCCCTTCACACGCTGGAACACAGAGACCTCCTCACCCGACTGAAACTGTGACCCAACAGAGATCACATTCATTGATTTAGATTTAACCAAACACGGTGCTTATGTGAATGCTAATAAATATCTGAATCACGTGTGAATCAATTATATTATAATGGATAAAAAATATACAGTACATGTATTTTTTTTAAATTGATGACTGTTATTGAGCATTTTGTGTTTCCTTGTGTCTCTTGTAACACAATTTATGATTTTCATTTAGGAATAAGACTCTGAAAAATGTGAATGAAGTAGAACAAAAAAGCGATCAATGTAGACGGTGAAGGTAATTATCAGTTTGGAAAGTGTCAAGGAGTTTGTGGGATTCACGGTGTGTAAGTCCTGACTTTAAAAATAAACCAGACAACAGGAGGATCACACCAACTCACAAGCTTCAGTTTCAATCTGGGCACTAACCGGCTGCAGCCTCCTGCCACGCACACACACCGACACACTGATGAAGACACACACAGCTTTATCAGTGTGTCAGTGTGTGTGTGTGTTTGTGTCAACTGAGTCACCACAGTCTGTTTCTCAGGGAGAACGACTCAATGATGCGTCTCTGAAAAGGAGAGAATCATCCCGATGACAACCTGAACAGCTCGCTCACCTCTCACTGAAGGTCAAACTGTAGCAGATGGCATGCTGGGAAATCCTCACAGAGGACTGTCTGTGTGGTCTCTATCTGTCTGGCTGTCCGTCTGTTACATAACTTAGTGATATCTTTCGATTTTGATCAACTGCCGGTTAATGCAGCTTTGCTTGGAGGGAAATTTCTTTTTTTCTGTAGACTTATTTTTGTCATAATTCAAAGTGTTGATAAACCAGATGGTACAGAGCAGCAGTGAAAATCATTTATGAGTTAATTATCAGGTCAGAACAGTTGGCTATGTTTCTGCTCTGTTTATAAATCAGCTGCTTATCATCTTGGTTAAGCATATCAATAACCTCAGTTATTGACCAAATCAGGATTTAGTCATTTGACTTAAGTTTGCTGTTATTGCCAAAAGAAAAAAATAATATAAGTGGGTCAAAAGAAAGCTAAGAAGAAGTTTTTATAAGGTCAATAGCGTAGATGGTAAATATTAATGGACGAGCCTGAGTGACGTCACACATCTGTTACTGGAGGGGGTTTGACCAACTGATGGATAACATTCTGCCCCCAAATGGTGTGGGCACATGATATCAGACCAATTGAGTTGTTTGACCAGTCTGGAAACATCTTCATTTTCTACTGTAAAAACTGTTTTTTTTTCTTCAATGGGGTGTGTGTGTGACTTCCTGTGCTTCTGCAGCCAGCCTTAAGCAGACACTCAATGAACTGCAGGATTTCACACTTCCGCATCGGCTTCATTTTTCAACACTGGAGGCTTCCTCTAGGTCAATAGATAATATACTGAAGGAAATTAAGCCCCTCACCAGAACAGCAATTGTCCAATTAAAGCTCAGCAACAGTTATTAGTGACAGTGTGATATCATTTGTGTTTGAGTGATAATTGTATATTAAATATATTCATCCCATAAGGACACAAGAATACACTTTAGACTTTATTGTCCCCATGGGGAAATTCTTCACAGCACCGTTACTGTCAACAGAGACAATTTCCACAAAAGAACATACATACACAAAACACAGAGTGTAACACATACAGAGTTAAACAACAGTCAAAAGTTCCCACTCTGGCCTGTTCAGCGAGGCCTTCATGTTTAGGGCCGCTGTAACAGCAGGGGTCAGGCTCCGCCCCCAGGTGAGCCTTTCTGCACCTCAGTACTCTTAACCTCCATCCTGAGGGAAGTGGGTGAGGCGGGTGTTATGTGAGGAAAACCAGAAGACACTGACACCAAAGAGGTTAAGAGAGGCCAAACAACACACCATGTTGACTGACACGGTTCAGTAAAATTATTGCATTTTGCACAAATATGACTCTGCAAAGCGTCTTCGGCCTGATGTTTACAAACTGTTGCATGTGGAGAATGTGGATGTGCATTCAACTGTTGTCATGATATCCACGGGCTGTGGCTAAATGGAGATTAACAAGGAAAGAAACTACTTTTTGGCATAATATGTATTTATTTGTTTATATGCAACCCAGGGACAAAACTTGGGTTAGATGACTTTTTGCACCCGGTATAGCTCCTACAGCTGAGACAAGGATGACATGGATAACAATACAGCCTAACGTTATGTTAAATCTGTTATGAAATATGTCTGTAGGGTTGTACACTCTCTTTGGCTTCATCTGTCACTGTCCTCTTCCTTTTAGCCTTAGTCAGTGTATCAAACAGTACAGAGGCAGGCTAACAGGCTTCTTCTTATAACTGAAGGTTTTTGTTTGAACTAGTGCCATAAAGCCACACACACTTCTCACAAGATGACCTTGGCCTGCTTCCAAAGTTACATATGTTACAGTGCAGCTAACAGGCGATCGGGCCACGCTGTAGACATGGGAGAGACATCATTCTCCCTGTTTAAAGTTATTATTAATAGTATTTCTTTACTGCTCAAGCATGTATAAGACAAAGAGAGGTTTGTAACGAGATGGAAAGTTGTTCTGTTCCTTTATACCCTTGTTTGGTCCTGCCCCTCCGGTCGACATAGGGGTGAAAATAACACATTCTAATACACGTCTGTCACAGAGGGGCAAAGGGCAAGTTAAATCCTGAGATAAGACAAGTAACAATTCAGTGTCACTGAAAGTGCTGTTGTTGAAACAGAGGGCCAGACATGAGGCAGCAGACAATGACTAATAAGCACGTTGAGGTGAAAGCAGTTGGTGAACAGGTTCCCATGGGGGTTGAGGTTAGAACAAACAAAGGGTCAAGGTAAGTAAATTAAATGCAAAGTCATTTTCCTCAACATGGTGTCATACAGATATACAGACATTCAAGTCTGAATCATGATTTTTTTTAAATGAAAAGAAATACAGGCATAACATAAAACTGAGAATCATATTACTCAGGAATTAGGCATGATCAATAAGACAATAATCTCCTTTACAGGAAATATTGAGTTTGCCAATAAACCTTTCCCGTCTGGAAGGGCACTAATATAATACTTGGCCATGCTGATACTTTGGGTTTCTTATCTCGCTTGCAGACATTTGTCAACATTTTATCAACTGGTAACATACTGTTTCCCCCTCCATTTGGTTGCTTTTCAGAGTATGATGCATAGCACTTTGTCTAAGGGTGAGCACATCTTTTGGTTTA